TGCCACTTACGATGTTGCTTTCTTAATTTATGAGTGGGGACCTCATCAGTCTTTACCTATTGCATGCTCCTCATTAACATCTATTTTATAGCTAGGTGATGTTGCCTGTAGGTTGTGGTTATAAAGCTGAGCAAGAAGAATGGAGATTCAACAGTTAGTATATCTGATTTGTGGGGAAGGATTTTTTTTTTCTTCACGCATGCAGAGAGGGAGGAAGAGAGGATCCCAAGCAGGCTCCATGTGCAGTTGGAGTCGGCCAGGGGGCTCAATCCCATAACTGTGAGATCATGACCCCAGCCGAAATCAAAAGTCAGCCATCCAACTGACAGCCACCCACGTGGCCCAAGGATATTTTTTTTTAATGTTAAAAATGTTTTGCCTTATACAGAGTAGGAAATTCAGTGTTACTGTTCAGCATGTGCTTGCTTGTTTTCCTTTTTCTTTTTCTTTTTTTTAATTTTAATTTTTTTTTTTTTTTAATTTAGAGAGTGTGTGTGTGTGTGAGCAGGGGAAAGGGGCAGAGGGAGAGAGAATGTTAAGTAGTCTCCACTCTCAGCCCGACAAAGGGATTCATCCCATGACCCTGGGATCAGGACCTGAGCTGAAATCAAGAATCGGAGGCTCAACTGACTGAGCCAGCCAGACACCCTTATGCTTTCTTATTTTTAATTTATCATACCTTTGTTTTGTAATTTATTTAAAGGTTTTTTTGTGCAGTATTTGATACAATACGAAGACTGCGTTTTATATATATATGTGTACATATATGTATATACACATATATATTAGTTTAAGAACAACAAAAAGAATAAATATTACCTATGAACCATAAATAGAACCAAATATATTATGGGGTAATATTTCTTTACTTTTCTTTATAGTTTTATTGTCTGTGGATATATTCGTAAACAACACGGTGTTTACTTTGAAAATATGAATAATGTCCCAAGCTAACTGAGTTAGGGAAGGATAGCATTACCATAGTTAGATTAAAGCTTCCAGGAAAAGGAGGACTAGTTTGGCATCAAGTTCACTGCATTTCAAGAAGTTCTACTCAGGCAATCAATAAGCAATGTCATGAGATGGTTCTTGGAAACATAGGGCCATCTTGGTCAGGTTTCAGGCAGTGGTATGATCTGGTGATGCAGGTTTGTTCAGCAGGTATATATATATACAGTCCCATGGAGAGAATGCTGTTCTTCTTGTTTTTGTTTCTTAACTTTTTGTGGTTTTCTTTCAACACTTGAGAGTAGATCAAAGCAGAACACATCTGGGAGGTGAAGGGAGTGTTCTTAGCTAATCCAGGTAGCAAGGCAAGGTGGAGTGAATAGGTACATCAAAGCAAGCCAGATATCAGATATGAATAAAAACTTGGAGTAGGCTTATCTGGACACTCTGTCCTTAGGAACCATGCCAGGGGTTGTCTTGGTGACAGTTTATCGTGCTGTCTCAGGAGTCCTGGTTGTATAATCCAGACTGGTTGCCCTTTAAATCCAGTGTATAGCTGGCATCCTGGAATCTCTCTTGCCAATCCTCCCAAAGATTACTATTGTCTCTTTCCCATGTTGGGTCTCCTATATTCTGTATCCTAAATTGTGGTCTTTATTAAAATTTTACTTTTGATGAAATCAAAATTTGCTTCTTGAGAAAGGATGTATGCAAAGTAAATGTTTTGAGATCTTTCATATCTGAGAAAACTCCTTATTTTCTTAAGTTGATTTGACTAGCTAAAGCATTCTAGGTTAGAAACGATGTTCCTTTATAATTTGAAGAAATGGCTCCCTTGTCATTTTCCTTCTAATGTGACTGTTGAGAAGACTGAAGTCTGAATCCATTTCTTTGTATGTGACCTGTATTTTCTCTCTAGAAACTTAGGGAATCTTCCGATTTATCTCCAGTATTGTGATAGTATTTCTACAGTGAAGATACATTGCCTCAACTTAGGTCTCCTTAATTTTTATATTAAATATCATTGGGTCCTTTCAAATGGGCAGCTCATATCCTTCAACTCTAGAAAATTTTCTGCCAAATTCTTTCATTTCTTTTCCAATCTGTTTTCCCCTATTTTTTTTTGTTTTTCCTGGAGCATTGTGTATTGTTGTTCAGATATTGGACCTCTGACTGGTTCTCTAGTATCATTCTATTTTTCTCTCTCCTATTTTTACTATAAACACTCATCTTCTCTTTTTTTCTCTGGTTTCTGGAAGACTGCCTCAATTTTATCTTCAAACCTCCTTTTTTTTTTTTTTTTTTAATTTCAGCTGTCATGTTTTTAACTTTTTTTTCCTCTTTTTTTTTTTTAAGCGTTTATTTACTTTTGAGACAGAGAGAGAGACAGCATATGGTGGGGGAGGGGGGAAGAAGAGAGGAGGAGACACAGAATCTGAAACAGGCTCCGGGCTGCTGAGCTGTCAGCAGAGCCTCTGTGAGTGTTGAACTCAGGACAACCGAGATCATGACCCTGTAAAAGTCAGGATAACAACAGACCAAACCACCAGAAAAAGCCCCAATATTTTAACTTCTAAGAACTCTTTTATTTTTCTTAATGTCTTCAATGCGTATTCTGTTCTTGTTATGGATATAATATCCCTGAGGGAATACTCACCCGGGACTATAGATATTATGTAATATGTATGTGTGTATATGTGTGTATTTACTTGTTGAAGCTTTTTCTGTAAGCCAACTAGTATTTGTTTTGCTTATATTGATTAAAGTAGTGGAGGACTAAAAAGCTGATTGAAAAATCTCTATTTTGAAGTGCCTCCGGTGGCTCAGTTGGTTAAGCCACATTTCTTTGATTTTAAGTTTTCAGTTATGATCTCTCATAGTTGTGGGATCAGGCTCCATGTCGAGGCTTTCTACTGATGAACACTTGGAATTCTCTCTCTCTCTCTCTCTCTCTCTCTCTCTCTCTCTTTCTCTTTTTCTCCCCTCTCCCCTGCTCTTGTGCATACTCTCTCTCTATAAAAATAAGTAAATGTTAAAAAAAAAACCTCTATTTTGGAGTACATTATCAATACTAACTTTCTAAATATTGCCTAATATTATACCTTGAAAAAATGCTCCTGTTATTCCCTCATCCAGAAAGTTAATTCTCAGTCTTCTGCAAATGATGGACTGGTTCTATA